CCCGTTTTTATTTGGATAGAAGCATATAAATTTCGTGGTTTTCATGTTTTATTACTATTTTAGCATTTCCCAATGTGATCTTTATTCTTGCATTTTCTTATCTTGTTACATTCTTGTTAAACTGATAATCTTCATGTTGTTTTATGCAGGCATCCTTGAAGACAGAGTGCGAGAAGAAGAGGGAGATGCACTTTCTAGGGAGGAAGCATGCCATTAAGGTCTAAGGTTTAGATTAATTAGGATGAATACCTCAGTGTTAAATTCATTAATGTCCCAACACAAGGATATTTCTTTCACATTAGCTGTTTTCATTTTTACAACTCTCAATTCTTAATCCTTTCTATTCTCATGAGTTATTGGACCTATAATTGATTATTTTAAATTTGCTGTGAAAATTTCTCAAAAATCTAAAATCCCCTCTATTTTCTGGTCGTACGAAAGTTGGACAAATGAAAAGCTCAGAAAAAGAGTTGAATGCATAGATGAGGGAATAGGAAGGGTCAAGTTAGAGTAATAATTTTTTGACTAAATTTTTAGACAAAATTTAAGGAAAAATTATGAAGAAAAAATATTGTGCAATTTAAACTGTACTAATTATTGAATAGAGATTAAGTTCTCTAATATTTTAAAAAAATTTTGTTGTAAAGTTTAATATAGTTTAAATTGTAAAATAAGATTTTTATAAATTAATACTAAAAATTTCGTCCTAAAAGCTGGTTTAGGTATATCATCATTGTCTAGTTATTAGTTAATGCCTTTTAAGTCCAATAAGCTTAGCCTCGTAGAGTCGTAGCCCCTGTGGCAAGATTATTGAAAGATATATATAGGCCATATTTTGGGCTTTCTTATCCAATAAAGTTATAGGCTTATAGCCCATAGTGAAATGAGTAAGAGAGAGCAGGGCGGACAATCGGGCTTTTAATATATTCTGGGCCAGGTTTGAGGCAATTAGGTCCAATCTGTTCGAAGGTAAAACGTAAAATTTTAATACAGATCCTGCA